CTTATATAGGTGTATCTCAATATAGACCACCCGAATTAGGGATATAAAATCATTAAGAGCATTTAGAAAGCTCAACCTCTCACTTTTATGATTCTATGAATTCATTAAGTCTATCTCACAAGGACAATTTAAAACCTGGGATACGAGCTTATTAAGAACATATGATAGTTCAATCTATCAATTTGATAAATTCATCAAGTCTGGTTCAACAAGGACCACCCAAATATTGGGCTATGAACTCATTAATAACATAAAATTCAACATCTCAAATTCGCGAATCCGTCAAGTCCGTCTCATTAGGATCACCCAAATTTTGGGCTATGAATTCATTGAGTGTGTAAAACTTGTTCTTCCACGCCATTGGATTCATCAAGTCCTTCTCACTAGAACCACCCAAAATTTAAGCTATAAATCTATTAATTCATCAATCAAATGGGCTTAAGACCAATTCCCCTCGACTCTTAAGTTAAGAGATTAATATAATACTCTTTTATTCTCTCGTACTTCAGCTTGTGTACTATCTATTTATTTATGAACTCATGTCTTCTCTTATTATCCTAGACTTGGCTTTAAACCATTCACATGTTATCTCATGAGTCACATAAAAACTTAAAGAATAAATAATTTTCTATATTTAATGATTTTCGATAGATACCTAAGGCATTCAATCTCTTGCTTGACTAAGTCAGACTTATTATATCATGCTTCACAGTAGAGCTACTAAAACAATTTTTCACAAGCTTTCACAAAAGTTGCTCTATTTAGATAAACATATATCTAATATGATTTCACATATATCATCTATAATTTCCAGATTATGAGAATTAAAATTCTCTTAGATTCATGTAATTTAAAGAGTTTTCTCATACATTAATTTATATGTTTCACAACACAAAATATGAAATCATAGATTTGTTTTAGACACCCCATGTTTTATATCATTCATTGGGTAGATAATTATTTTCAACTACCCCATATTCTCTAACCTTATGGAGTCTAAATTAATAATGTCATATTAGTCAAATATTAACTCTAAAGAGACCATTGACAATTCAATTACTATGACCAAAAGTCTTATCTTGATAAGACTATCAAAATTCATTTTTTAACATTTTCTCTAAGTTACAAAGTATGTAAACTTTTCATAATATCTTATGATTCAAAAAGTGAGTATAGAAACGAACAATGCACCAGGTAGGTCTCTAGAAAAAGAGAGGGACACACTAGGCACGTTTAAATACCAAATATTTTTCAGAACCAATTCTAGACATGCAGTCTCACTCTATCACACAAGTTTTCGACCAATCATTTATCATTTTATTATAAGAGTCTCATAAAAACCTATTCTCAATAATTTCATGCAATGATATACATGAATGCGGGTGGGGGAATCTAAACATGACCTTAAGGGTGTGTTTGTTTGGGGGAATGTGAGATTCCCATGGGAATGGAATCCACATTCCCCCATTTGGTTGGCCGGGAATGTCTTTCCCGGTAATCTTTCATTACCAATATTGAGTTTTTTTGGGTATATTACCGGGAATGTCATTACCTCCATTTCCTTAGGTATTTTTGGATTACAGGCGTTTTGGACTATAATGCCCTTAAAATAAATTTCTTTCAAAAATATCATTTATTCTGTTATTGAATAATAAAAATTCTACGAAGGTTAAATTACAAATTTATCCTTAAACTATTTTAGATTTACAAAAAAAAAGTCTATAATTAAAATTTTATATGAAGTTCAGGGGTTAAAATAAAATTTTATCCTTTCATTAACCTTTTTATATTTTCAATTTTGTAAAAAAATATATATAAATTTTATGAATTTAAAATTTTTAAAGAAAATATATAAATATTTTCCAACTTGTTAAAAAAAATATATAATAGGGCAATTTGGTTAAATATACATTCAATAATCTTTTATTCCTTTAACCAAACACGATAATCTTACATTCCTGCTAAACCACCCAAACACAAAATACAACATTCCCAGCAATCCTATTCCCTGGTAATCTTACATTCCGTGAACCAAACGCACCCTAAAGGTTGACCAAGTAGACTGGTTCATCCTCTCTGCCTAGTTTTCCAATTTTCTTATCATCACCTTTGAAAATTGATTCCAAAAAAGTTATTCATCATGTGATTTCTGATCACCCTGTTATCATTATAAACATGTACTTCAAAAATATTATTACCACAAAACAACGTTATAACATATAATGACATTTTAATTTATAAAGATAAACGTTCAGAAACCATACATAAACACATATTGAATTACCTTCATCTCTAGTAGGTAATTCCCCTACAATTTAATATAAAATGATATGCCCGTTAATATATATTGGGTCCGTCTGAACTGAGCCCATTATACCCTGGGACCCACAAAACCTGTTAACAAATTCAAGTCAATAAAAAATATTTTATGCCGTAAATAATTCATTAAAAATCGATAAATTCGATAATTCCAGAGGTTCATGGCCACCTTTACATACTACACCCATTAACATAGGCCTTGAATACCATTAGCTAATTCTTTTTTTTTTTTTGCACGATAACTACGATTGTTGAGAGTTAAAGCATTAATATATATATATATATATATATATCAAGTGCCATGGCTTTTCCAAAGATAATATCAAGCAACAACAGAAATTCATGAAGTGAGATTAAAGAAAGCCACCATGCCAGTTTGTTCAATTATCATTGAGCAATCTATATTGGCCAAAATAAGGAGTCAATGGTCATGCAACAAACATACGAAAAGCTGTATAGGTACGGTTGTCGTTCTTATCCATGCATACTTGATATTTCTTATTGGAAATTTTTCAAAAATAAATAAATAATTAATTAATTAAATGTTATAAAATCTCAAGAAATTAGGGACATATCCTAACACACTCCTCAATATCTCTAACCATTTGCTGTATCCAAAATTGTCATACCTCGCTTGTTTGACCCACATCATTAATCTTTGCTTCATAATTGTGTGTGGTTCAAAGACTTGAAACAAACAAAAGGATGGTTCCCACACGGGTAACCTAGGATTGTTCAAGCACATAATTTATGTTGAGCGTAGTTATATTTAAACAACAAAAATTACTTCTAAATTGTTGGAAAACAATACTGCTACAAGATAAAACCGTTAACATTGACTAACAAATAATAATCAAATAATGAAGGAGATAGAACGATTTTATTGTGTCGTAGTATGTAAGCCACTACCTTAGGAGCAATTTCGTCCGAATTGGTGTAATCCCGAAATAGATGTTGCCCCCAAGGTTAATACATCCTTTCAAACCTCGTAAACCCGAAGTAAGGAAGTGGAGCCCACTTGTACTGCTCTCTCTAACCAGAAATTTCCCAAGAAGAAAATACGAAAACCATTGCTTGTATATCCAGTTAGGTAGAGGGACTATCCCTTTTATAGGAGTGATAGAGGAGTAAAATTGTCAATTTGCATTGACCCACTCCAATCAATACCTAAATAAAGGGTAACCAATACCCTAGAAATAACCTTGGTATTTACATTACTAACATATCTTACCTGACTAAAGTCCAAATATCACAACATCTCTTTGTCTCGCTAAGATTGAAATCTAAATTACCCGCACATAAACATTTATTGACCCTATGACATGCCAATTATACTTGGAACTCAGCATTTAAAACAACATAATATAATTATAAAAAAAATACCATTTACGAATAACAATCAGCTTATAGCCAACAAAAAATTTTCGTGCAAATAATCTTTGCACATATTTCACTTTCAAAACATGACAATTACTTGGATTATTATGACAAATACTAAGATGATCATATATCAAATATAATCCAACATTGAAATAACATATCAATATATAATTAAACGTACCTTTGTAATGCAGTTACTAACTCAAAATCTTGAATTGAATCGAAATGTGCAATTCATCAATTCACATACCAATATCCACACATGTGAAAACCAAATAATATAACTATGCATATAAAGACTCTATTTCGATTACACTCATTTGATCTAAGTTTACAGTATGCTTCGGAGTCGATTACTTAAAAGTCTTTAATTTTATTATAACTTTGATGGAATCCCTTTAGTTTATTGAGCGTTCATAGTCAATGATACAGTTTAAAATCTTTCTTAATTGTTGGCGACACATACCTTATAGACGTAAGTCACGTAACTGCTTGAAACCAGACATCTAGGAAGAATATCATTCTCTTATATCATTGAAGTCAGTTCTTACCTTTGTATACTTAGAAAAAGACAATTTAGACTCAGTGGCGGAGCAACAGCTTAGTGAGGGTAGGCACATGCCCACCATGAAATCCGAATTTTCTTCGATTAATTACTTATTTTACTAATGGTGCCTACCCTTAAATATGAGTTTTCTTTGATTAGTTACTTATTTTACGGACAGTGCTAACCTTGAAATTTTATTTGTACTGATCTCATTTAATAACTGCCCACCTTTAAAAATATTTCTAGATCCGTCGATGTTTAGACTTTAGGGTTTGGAGTTATACAGTCGAGTATGGTGTCCTCTTGTTTCTGTTGATGGTCATGGTCCAGTACTCTCCACAGAGAGCCGAGTGCCAGCAAGCAGCATTAATTCATGGCTTGGGTAGATTTTCTTCATTAATTAATCTCATTACTTGAACATTTCAAACAAGTATTTTATACATGTGGATGACAATAGATCTCATCTCAAAGTACTTCTTCAAGTGCCACACACACACATATATATACATGTATATATATGAATTGACCTGAGTTCTGGTCCTGGGAACCACATGTTAGTTCACATGTTGGTGGACAACTTGTGATGTTGGACAACTTGTGATGTTTAACTGATTTTTACGATTATGTATGGTTAAACTGTGATTTAGTTTTGATTGAATCCTGACAACACAGGTTACTTTGTGGTTTGCACTTCTCTCAATTCATTGTTTGATCGAAAATAATTGATTAATTTTATGAATTTTGGCGCATGCAGTCGGGGAGTTTGGTGTTCGAGTTCTAGGAATCCAGACGAGTTTAGCCGATCATCTCAATCCGGAAAACAGTTCAACGTAAGAGATCATGAAAAAGCTGCTGAATTTTTATTGTATTAGATTAATCAAAAAAATATTTCGTTTATCAGCTTAGGCATGCATGCAACGCTACGAAGACTATCTAGGGTTAACATCAGCCATCTCTCGGCCTAGGGCAAAATTGTTTAGATAATATGGTGAAAAAAAATCCCGCATGTAAGGTGTTGAGAAAATTATTTTTTCAAGTAATATGAATGTTGTGATACACCGGAAGACGCTTAAATGATAGAGATTTCAGAAAGACACAGGGATCATTCTACGTCTTTGGCAAGACGATATTAACTTTTGGTCATGCATGCAGCTTGAGGAAAGTCGCTATGTTGTCTGAGCGTCTTCCTAAAATTGCTGTGCCGTTCAGATGTCTTAATGTGTATATGTTCTTTAACACTGCTTGAAAAAATAATTTTCTCAACCCATAATTTTTTCAAACCAATATTGGGCATTTCTACCCTGGGCCTAGCAATTAATACATAGGTGATACTTTCTTGTTTCTCCAGCATGTTAAAAACGACTGACCAATGCTTCCTTCGTTTACATTTGAAGTGAAATAATGCATTTAAACAATGCAGGAAAGCGACTTTGGTCAACAAAACTTAACGGAGTCAAACGTAGAGCTTCACGGCCCAAGCTTGGAGTTCAGCTTAGGAACACCCCGGCAGACACAGTAAATTAATGTATGATGGGGGAAACAAAGGAAATAGGTATATATGGGTTAGAATTCACTCATAATTTGGGGAAAAAAATTAGTTTTACACTTTTATAAGATCATTGGATAAGTAAAAATAAACTGTTGAAATTATTTCTTCGTTTTTTTCTTGTGAATATCTTTTGTCTCCTATGGTTAATCTCAACCATCTTTTCTAACTCATCGAGCGATCTTATAAAGATATAAAACTAAAAACATTTTACACGAGTGAAAGATTTATATTTCTATGAAGGTTGCTGATGTTGGTGAACACTCATTCAATAGATATTGAATGTGATTGTAATTCAAGTTCATGTTTCTAGCAATATATTTATATGGATGGATTTGTATCTGGTAGTGTAATTAAATTAGTCCGCTTAGAAAGGAGGTGTTTAAAGCATGGTGGTAGGGTTCTCTAAGTCCGATCACATCTGTCAGGAAAGGTTGAGCGAAAGCATCGTTGCGGTTGTTTGGTGGTGTGTTTATTGGAAGTTATCTGCATTTTGAAAGAGTCGGTTGCTGGTGTGGTGTCTGTAAAGTTGGGTAGACGTGTCTCGAACATCCGGTTTTCTCTGCCTCTGAGAGGCCGCTCAAGCTGTGCATTAAAATACATTGTTGTAGGTTCATCGAATGGTAAGCAAGCATTGATGGAACGTTGAGAATGGGCTCATATAGTCCTCCATCTGCAAGCGCCTCAGTCGAGTGTTTCACACTTTTTCCGTTTGTTTCACACTTTTTCCGTTTGTTGGTTCCTTTGTCTGGATCTGGAGATGCATTTTTGGTTTTCCTTTCTTCCTTAGAGCAGGGTTATGGATTGTTCCATACTCCTTGCGTATAACATGTTGAACCAAGTGTGTTTATAGTGTAGTGTTTGTGATGTTCAATTGTGGGTTTGCTGGGTTTCGCAGTTTGGTTCGGTTGTCTGTACAGTTTGCTTAGCTGCAGTAGTCATGGCTATACTGTCTATGTATTGTTTGTGATTGCTGCGTGTTGTTTAGTTACTTTTGTTGGTGGATTCATTGTACGAGCTTTTATCTGTTTGTATTTGCGTGTCTTGTTTTGTCCAAATTGTATATACTCTTTTCCTCCACCTAGATTTAGAAAATTTTTTAACGAGCATACAATTTAGTTCGATTCTATTCGTCATTAATAAATTATTATTTTGTCAAGCAAAAAAATAAAAGTAGTCATGGCTATACTGTCTATATATTATTTGTGTTTGCTGTGTGTTGTGTATTTCTCCGCCCTAGTTAAGAGTATTCTTTTCTTCCATTTAGATTTAAGGAGATTTTTAACGAGTCTCCTAACCACCTTCAACCCGGGAAAGGCAGACCTTCTTCCAACTTAACCTAACCAGCTTTCTCTTCCCCATCGAGCAACCCCATAAAAAAATTCTTCGGATCTTGTCCAGCTTTTGAACTATTAGCTTAGGGATTTCGAAAAGAGACGTAAAACACAGGTAAAATAGATAAGACTACATTGATCAAAGTCTCCCTTCCAGCAAATGAAAGCGAATTTCTTTTCCATCCAGCCAACTTCGCTTGAAAACTTTCGACAATTGGATCCCACATTTTTACCTTACGAGGATCTGCCCCTAGAGGAATTCCAAGGTACGAAAACGGCATCGAACTCACTTTGCACCCACAACTCTTTGGAAAGTTCAATTACCAAGACTGGATCTACATTTACTCCTACAATACATGATTTGCTGAAGTTGATGCTAAGACCTGAACACACCTCATAACACCTCAAAATTCGTTTAACATTTACTAAACAATCCATCTTAGGTCTCACAAAAATAACTGTGTCGTCTGCGAATTGCAAATGCATGAATGACTGCCCAGGAATCACATTTCCAATACCTTTGATCTCCCCAACCTTTCCGCTTTGACTAATAACAGATGAAGGACCTCTGTCACAATAATGAATGAAAACAGGGATAGTGGGTCTCCTTGTCAGAGCCCACACTTCAAGGAGAACTCCTTTGTGGGTGACCCATTTGCTAACACCGATACCCTGGACGAAGAGATACACTCCCATATCCATCTTCTCCACATCCTACCAAAACTCATATTTTCCAAAACCATCAACAAAAAGTCCCACATAACACAATCGTATGCCTTAGAAATGTCTAATTTCAAAACAATACCATCATCCAATTGATCCTCGGACATCGAATGGGTAATTTCATTTGCTATCAGAATTTCGTCCGTTATCTGACGTCCTGCAATGAATGCGCATTGAGTGTCGCCTATCAGATCATCCAACACCGATCGTAATCATCTTGACAGTACTTTCGCCACTATTTTGTAAATTGAGTTTATTAAACTTATCGGTCTATAGTCAGACACCAAGGTCAGATTTTGAATCTTCGGTATCAAGGTGATGAAAGACGAATTAATCATCACTGAAAATTTTCCTATTTTATGAAACGTGTCCATTAGCTTTTAAAGATCACCTTTCATATCCTTCCAGCATTTCTTGAAGAACTGAAGATTAAACCCGTCCGGTCCCGAGCTTTTGAGCCATCACATGAATGAACAACTTCTTTAATTTCTTCTACTGAAAAAGGAGCTTCCAACTTCTCTACCTCCGGTTGACTTAACAACTTGAATTCCAATTGAAAATTTGCTTCACAATCTCTAACTTTCCAATCGAAGAGACTTTGGAAATGATCGAACTATTGAATCATAAACTTGATCCATTATGGGAGCCTAAACCCAAACCCAAACTAAATTGATGTCATTGCTTATATCATTTAAGTAATGATGTCATTGCTTATATCATTTAAGTAATGATGTCATTGCTTACATCAATTTAGTTAGATGAGAGTTAGGTATTTGTTGAATTTGTAATGGTTTAAATTAGTTTATTTGTGTGGTGTAGGATTGTTCTTGAGTAGTATAAATACCCCTCCCCATTTTAGTTTTAAGCATCAAGAAAAATTAAGAGCTTCTAAGTGAGTGAAGAAGCAAAGTCTTATAAGAGTGAGTTGTAGTTCTTGGTTTTGAGTGAGAGTGATCTTGTAATATTTGTTTGAGTTTCAATAAAAGTTGTTTGTGTGAGTGTTTTATTTCCAACAAAGTGGCATCAGAGCGAGTTAGAAAGATCGAAGGTCTCGACAAGAGGAATCCGCCGCCGCAAGAATTTTCTCAATCTGAGTTCTGACGCACCGCCACGTATAGCCGGAAGACTGCTGCTAGAAAATCGAGTTGACTCACCGAGTTGAGCCGAGTCAGTCGAGTTGGAGCCCCTTGACCGAGTTGTCCAAGTTCCTCCCAAGGTTTTTCGGCGTTCCGGATTCATCCGTGCAATCAGATTTTACAAAATCTCATTATATTGAGAGATATGGCAAATGGTATGACACCATTCCAAGTTCTGACACTCAACAACAACAACTACGACAATTGGAGTATCAAAATGAAGACACTTCTTGGATCACAAGATGCGTGGGATATCATAGAGAAAGGCTATAACGAGATTATAGATGATGTTGTTTTTGCTACTCTTACACCAGATCAAAAGACAACTTTGAAGGATTCAAGAAAGAGAGACAAGAAGGCTCTTTACCTCATCTATCAAGCATTAGATGATGATGGTTTTGAAAAGATTTCAAGTGCAAGCTCTAGCAAGGAAGCATGAGAGAAGCTGCAAACCTCTTACAAAGGATTCGAGCAAGTGAAGAAGGTTCGTCTCCAAACATTAAGAGGTGAATTTGAATCCTTACACATGAAAGCATCTGAGTCTATTTCAGATTATTTCTCAAGAGTAGTAGCTGTTTCTAATCAATTAAAAAGAAATGGTGAAAAGTTAGAAGATGTGAGGATAATAGAGAAGATACTCCGTTCGTTGGATCCCAAATCTGAGCACATCGTCTTGACAATTGAAGAAACTAAAGACTTGGAAGAAATGACGATCGAGCAACTCCAAGGATCATTGCAAGCATACGAAGAGAAGCATAAGAAGAAGCATGAGTTTACTGAGCAACTCCTCAAACTGCAACTCAAGGATATGCATGAAAGCCAACGCAATGATAGAACCCAACGTGGCCAAGGCAGAGGTAGATGTCATGGACGAGGTGGAAGTCGAGGTCGTAGACGAGGCTGGAATTACAACAACAACAATTCCAACAAAAACTATGAGAAAGGAGAAAGTTCAACACGAGGCCGTGGAAGAATCAATCCGAACTAAAAGTATGACAAATCTCAAGTTCGATATTATAATTGTCAGAAGTTTGGGCATTATGCTTCAGAATGTAGAGCTCCCAACAACAAAATTGAGGATAAGGCCAATTACGTGGAGGAAAAGACAGATGGAAAAGAAACTCTTCTTCTAGCACGAAAGGAAACTGATGGTGGCCAAGCAAATTCCTAGTATCTTGACAGTGGTGCAAGTAATCACATGTGTGGAAGGAAAGACATGTTCGTGGATCTAGACGAGTCAGTAAGCGGAAATGTTTCGTTTGGAGATGATTCCACAATAGCAATAAAAGGGAGAGGTAACATTCTTATCCGTTTGAAAGATGGGAGATATCAATTTATTTCAAATGTCTACTATGTTCCCAATATGAAAAGTAACATCTTAAGTTTAGGGCAACTGGTAGAGAAAGGTTATGATATTCATATGAATAATTATAATCTTTCTATAAAAGATGATAAGAATAACTTCATTGCTAAAGTGTCGATGTCAAAGAATAAAATGTTCTTGATCAACATACAAAATGATGTTGCAAAGTGCCTGAAAGCTTGCTACAAAGATGCATCATGGCTTTGACATCTTCGATTTGGGCATCTCAATTTTGGAGGTCTAGAGCTGTTATCTAAGAAGGAGATGGTAAAGGGACTACCTCGCATCAACCATCCTGACCAGCTTTGTGAAGGGTGTCTAGTCGGGAAACAATTCAGGAAAAGATTTCCAAAGGAGTCAGAGACAAGAGCCAAGAAGCCACTTGAGCTCATCCATACCGATGTGTGTGGACCGATCAAGCCAAGCTCTCTCGGTAACATTAACTATTTCCTTCTCTTTATTGATGATTTTTTAAGAAAAACCTGAGTATATTTCTTGAAACAGAAGTCAGAAG